ATTTACAAGAATTAAAAAACCAAGTTTCTCAATCTTTCCGGCCGAGCCACGACGCCTAGATGTTTGATTTCATTCTCATTTCTTGCATGGGACCTAGAAATTCATCCAAGGACACACATGTGATTTTTCAACCAACTTTGCTGCACCGAAGCATGTGCTTGTAGTTCAAATTTGAATTATGCACATTAAATGCCCAGATACTCAATTAATGTATAAAAAAGATCAAACGAATCCAGAATAATTCCAAAATTTAGCACGATACTTCTATTTGGTCTAATCTGCTTGTGTAAAAAAATTAAGGCGGGAGAAGGCAGTGTACGTATGTCGTTTCGCACACGGAAATGACACGTTCCCTCTCGGAACCATGAGCCTCTTGAGGGAAGCTCCGGTTTGCAAGAAGCTTACACCAAAGTTTGTCCCAATTCGGCCAACAAATTTACCGCAGCATGTTGGTGCCATGTCATGACAACATGCCAAGTTTCATAATTTTTAGGCATGTTTTGAATTTACAGGAATTAAAAAACCAAGTTTCACAATCTTTTCGGTCGAGTCACGACGTTCAGATATTTGAATTTCATTCTCATTTCTTGCATGGAACCTAGAAATTCATCCAAGGACACACATGTGATTTTCAACCAACTTTGATGCACTGAAACATGTGCTTATAGTTCAAATTTGAATTATGCACATTAAATACGCAGAAACTCAATTATGTATAAAAAGGCCAAACGAATCTGGAATAATTCCAAAATTTAGCACGATACTTCTATTTGGTCTAATCTGCCTGTGTAAAAAAATTAAAGCAGGAGAAGATTGTGTACGTATGTCGTTTCGCACACGGAGATGACACATTCCCTCTCGGAACCACGAGCCATTTTGAGGGAAGCTCTGTTTTGCAAGAAACTTACACCAAAACTTGTCTCAATTCGGTCAAAAAATTTACCGCAGCATGTTAGTGCCATGTCATGACACCATGCTAAGTTTCATGATTTTCACGCGTGTTTTGGATTTACAGGAATTAAAAAAAAAGTTTCTCAATCTTTTTGGCCGAGCCACGCCGTCCAGATGTTTGAATTTCTTTCCCATTTTTTGGCATAAGACCTATAAATTCACCCAAAGACACATGTGATTTTTCAACAAACTTTGATGCACTGGAGCATGTGCTTGTAGTTCAAATTTGAATTATGCACATTAAATACGCAAAAACTCAATTAATTAATAAAAAAGCCAAACGAACCTGAAATAATTCTAAATTTTAGCACAATACTTCTATTTGGTCTAATTTGTCTGTGTAAAAAAATTAAGGCGGGAGAAGGCAGTGTACGTGTATCGTTTCGCACACGGAGGTGACACGTTCTATCTCAGATCCACGAGCCTTTTTGAGGGAAGCTCCGGTTTGCAAGAATTTTACATGAAAGTTTGTCCCAATCTGGCCAAAAAAATTACCGCAACATGTTGGTGCCATGTCATGACACCATGACAAGTTTCATGATTTTCAGGCGTGTTTTGGATTTACAGTAATTAAAAAACCAAGTTTCCCAATCTTTTCGGCTGAGCCACGACGCCCACATGTTTGAATTGCATTTTTTTTGCATGGGACCTATAAATTCACCGAAAGACACACATGTGATTTTTCAACAAACTTTGATGCACTAAAGCATGTGCTTGTAGTTCAAATTTGAATTATGCACATTAAATGCCCCAAAACTCAATTAATGCATAAAAATGCCAAACGAATCCGAAATAATTCCAAATTTAAACACGACACTCATGTACTAGTTGCATGTTCACTGTACGTAGATGTTTTAGCAATTCAAACACCATCCTTTTCCTCTGTAACACCATTTTGTCTTTTAAAACATAATGAAAAATCAGGTATACCATAAAATAGTTTACTAGAAAGAATCGTGTGGGATGCGATATAAAATACCTTGGCGCACCATCTTGTCTGGCTTACGCAGGAAGTTTCGTCGTCTACAGTCCAGCGCCCCTGCTTGAACCACACTTGCGTGCCAGTTTCTCGCGGCACCGAGCGTTTTTTTGCCACCGCGGAAATATCTATCTTCCGCCCCTCCTTCTCACCAAAAGCCACATTTTCACTGTTCCTCCTTGCTTTCCAAGTTCAAACCTTCACCGCTGCTTACTGGCAGCTCAGCCTCCTCGCTGGCAACCCTTCTTCTTGCAGCGCCGCCTCCTTGCCGGTTATCCTTCTTCTTGCAGCGCCGCCTCCTCGCCGACGACCCTTCTTCTTGCAGCACCGCCTCCTCACCGGCAACCCTTCTTCTTGCTGTGCGGCCTCCTCGCCAACGACCCTTCTTCTTGCTGCGCGGCCTCGTCGATATGGTCAGGTAATCCACACCCACCCACACCATCCTCATCCTTTCTCGTCCCACATGCCCCGATCGACAGCGCGACACCTTCCACTGAAATCATTGTCCCCCTCCTCCAATTAAGCACCGCCCACAGCCATTTTGCACGCAGTATAACGTGGAGCTCAGTAACATGCGGCCGCACGCGCGCATGAGGTCGCTATGGCTGCCATGCGTGCCGATCGCCAGATCTTGGAGGAGCACCTCGACTTCGAGGCCACCGTCGACACCGCCACACGGTTGTGTACTTTAAAATACAGTTCGTGATGTTTGAATATACCCACGGGTATAAGATTATATCCATGCCCTACCCACGACCAATCAGATAGGGTTTGGGCGCCGCCCATGGGCACAAAAGTATATCCAAAACCTATCCATTCAGATCGGATATCCATGGGTATCCATGTCCATGGGTAAAATTGTCATCCTTAGTAGTAGTGCTGTATGAGGAAGAAGGCAAGAAGAAAGTAAGTTTTGCGTGACAATTTCTTCTTACAGGACGTGCTAGTCCTACTGGGCATCATTGCTGCAATGGGAGTATCATACAAGCACGTATCTGTCAGAATCGGGGCTGCGGGGAATCAAGAGGTTCGAACACTGGGTGCGCTCGCTTCTACCGCCCTACTCTACCTTGCAAACCTCACGACGAGGCTCCGACGAGCATGAGATAGAGAAGAAGAACATTGGACACGACAGTTTACCCATGTTCGGACCACTTTGCAGTGTAAAACCCTACTCCTGCTTTGTGGTTAGGATTGCTTGGGGGAGAATTCAATAAGCCAATTTTGATGAAGCTTGCCAATACATTCAATGTAGTGACCCTTGTGGCTGCAACGTATCATGTTTGCAGGTTTACTGTAATCGAATGGAAGATACGAAGTAGGGTTACGACACTATTCTCAACTCTTGGCTGTGAGTGGATGGACGCCACAAGACTAGAACATTGTCTCCGCTGCATGATTGTATTATAAGCTAGCCCATGAGCCAAGCATTTGTGTATTGTAAAAGCACTGGATCTACGATGTAATACTATGACATGTGATGTATTCTTGGTATTTCATCCTCGACTGTGCATGCCAACTATTGGTGCAGGGACTGACACGGTAAGCGTAGAGATTCAGGCTCCTATAAGGGACCGGGTCGTGACATCAACGATTCTTGTTCCAAATTTCATTCGGTTCAAGTGATCCTTACCAGCCAATACATTTTACGGCAACGAGAATATATTGTTTTGAGGTATATCAAAACCAATACTCTTTTATAATTCTCATTTTTGACGATTCCCTTATGCCACGCATAATAAGAACTCCAAAAAGAAATTAACCAATGAGTAAATTTGGAACATTTGCTCGCAAATAAACAAACTTGCTCTACCTCCATGTTTGTTTATCAAGTGACTTATATCATCGCCATCAATAATACCCGTTTAAAAATTTCATTTGAATCAAGTGATCCTTGGTGGTGGCCAATGCATTCCTTGGCAACCAGAATATACTCTTTTGAGGTGGCCCGTTCGTATTTCGTCGACCAGTCTTTCGTACCTCACCTTTTGATCATTTCTTTTTTAATTTCTCACATCACGTAAAGACCAACCCGGTGAGGGCTGGTTTGGATGCGTGCATCTCCAGCCTCCTCCCAAGTCCTACTCCTACTACTGAAGAGAGAGAGAGAGAGAGAGAGAGAGGGAGAGCATTCCCCTCCTCCAACCTCCCCCCCAGCTGCCTCCCCTCCCAAAGCTCCCCACTTCTCCCGCTCCGGCGTCGCATTCGCCCCGCCCGCCCCGCCGATTCCCTCGGGTCTTATCCTCGCTTGCGGCCTGCCGACAGCGGGGCTCCCCTCCGCTCGGAGTCTCCCCGCGCCCCGCCGAATTTCTCGGGTCATTCTCTCCGGCGGCTCCGGGTGCGGGCTTTCGGTCCGGGGCGCCGCGGCCCGCGATCATTGCTGGAGGAGAGCTTTTTTCGCGGAGGGGTCTGGTGCGGAGTCTGCAGTACCGGCGGCGTCCATAGGTTAGATCTGGAGGTTTCGGCGCTCTGGATCTGAGCTGTTGGTAGGCTGCATTTTTTTTTTCGTTTCCTTCTCCCCGTCGCTATTTGTTTCCTTTTTCTTAGCAAGTTCCCGGAGGCGGCAAGAACTCAGCGGTCGCTGATCTTTCTTTGCAGGTTTTGGGTGGAGGAATCGGGACTGGCGGTCGCAATCCTCCTAGCCATTTTGGTGCTGTCCGTTCTGGGTTACTAGGGGGTTTGCGTGTTCTAAATAGGGTATGGACGGCAGATGCAGTAACTACTAGTATCTCTTGAAGAAACTTCAGCTGCAGATCTGAAACCCATTTTTGTGCCCCTTGCTGTAGTTGTAGCCCTGCCAGATGAGGTGAACCAGGCCGCTTTCTAGTGCCCCCTTGCCATTGCTTGTTGCCAGTGTTGGTTGCCAGTTTTAGCTCAACAAATCTGGCTGGAGCCTGATCTGCCCAAGCCAGCATTAGTTGTGTGCTCTCTGTGTCTGGTTGAGCAAGGTTGCAGCTTCCATTTGTTGATTTCGTCGGCTTTGTTTAGTAGCTTTGATAACCTGGAGACTGCAAGCAAACAGATCCCGTCCTGCAGCTCTAGTAATAAGGTGGTGCTGGGGGAAGGCACCATGACCTACTTTCCGGAGGAGGTGGTGGAGCACATATTCAGCTTCTTGCCCGCGCAATGTGACCGGAACACCGTTTCACTTGTTTGCAAGGTATGGTATGAGATTGAAAGGCTGAGCCGGCGAACTGTCTTTGTGGGTAACTGCTATGCTGTGCGCCCTGAGCGCGTGGTGCTTCGGTTCCCCAATGTGCGGGCACTGACAGTGAAGGGGAAACCACACTTCGCTGATTTCAACCTTGTGCCACCTGATTGGGGTGGGTACGCCGGACCATGGATCGAGGCAGCAGCCAGGGGCTGCGTGGGTCTTGAGGAGCTGCGGATGAAGCGGATGGTGGTGTCAGATGAGAGCCTGGAGCTGCTTGCCAAATCATTCCCACGATTCAGGGCCCTAGTTCTTATCAGCTGTGAGGGGTTCAGCACCGATGGACTAGCAGCTATTGCAAGTCACTGCAAGTGAGTGTACTTAAAATTGCAGTTTGTTAAGGCATCATAGTTTTCTGATTTGCTGTTTTAGTTTCTGCGTGCATCTAGATCTTATGGTTTAACTTGGTGAGGTATTGAAATATGAAATGCCTTTCTTGCTCTTTTCTGATTAGCTACTAGCCTTCTTGCTTCGGTCCTGCCAGTTATTACTTGTTTGAAGCCTAGATCCAGCACTTGTTCCAATGCTATGTGCAAGTAAAGTTGAAAGGATCAAATTTGATCTGCTGCACAATTCTGTAGCTACAAAATCTCCCGAATTGCATGAGCACTCTTTCAGGGTCTGAATGATCCAGTTGCATCTGATGTCCTTAGTTAGTTATCCTGATGTTCTGTCCAAATTTTGTACCTGCCATTTTTTGACGGACCATTCTTGTGTTAGATTCGTGTATAGTATGTCTGTTATCTTTTTATTTAGCTCGTTAGACTTTACATTTTATCAGTTAATTTTGTCTATACTTCCTTTTTGGTAGGATGAATTGGTATTGTTATGCTCATGGTGCACACAATCTGCTAGGGCAGGATGCCAGTTCTGATTAATTTCATTAATGCATTATTATTATCTCATTAAAGGCACCAATCTACTCTTGTTACATGCATTTAATGGTCAATACACTGACATTGTTTTTTATATTGTTATCTGGTCTAGGCTCCTGAGGGAGTTAGATTTGCAGGAAAATGAGGTGGATGATCGAGGGCCAAGGTGGCTCTCCTGCTTCCCTGATTCCTGCACGTCCCTTGTCTCCTTGAATTTCGCCTGCATCAAAGGGGAGGTTAATGCTGGTTCATTAGAGAGACTTGTTGCTAGGTCCCCAAGTCTTCGGAGTTTGAGGTTGAATCGATCTGTGTCAGTAGATACACTCTCGAAGATATTAATGCGCGCCCCTAATTTGGAGGATCTAGGGACTGGGAACTTGACAGATGACTTCCAAGCTGAATCGTATCTCAGGCTGACCCTTGCATTGGAGAAATGCAAACTGCTGAGGAGTTTATCGGGCTTTTGGGATGCTTCGCCTTTGTGCCTTCCATTCATCTATCCTGTATGTGGGCAACTAACAGGTTTAAACTTGAGCTATGCTCCGACACTTGATTCTTCTGATCTCACCAAAATGATCAGCCACTGTGTGAAACTCCAACGTCTTTGGGTGAGTTCCCTTGCTGCCGCACTCACCTTACTATTTTTATGCTTGATTAAGACAATTCAGTACAGGGTTTGAGCCTTTATCCTGTACACTCCAGGTACTGGATTGCATCGCGGATAAGGGCTTGCAAGTGGTGGCCTCCAGTTGCAAGGATCTACAAGAACTCAGGGTATTCCCATCAGACTTCTATATCGCCGGGTATTCCCCAGTAACAGAGGAGGGACTTGTTGCAATATCCTTGGGCTGTCAAAAACTGAGCTCATTGCTATATTTTTGTCATCAAATGACGAATGCTGCACTGCTTACTATAGCTAAGAACTGCCCAAATTTCACGCGGTTCAGACTCTGTATTCTTGAGCCTGGGAAGCCTGATGCCATGACAAACCAACCATTAGATGAAGGTTTTGGTGCTATTGTTCGTGAATGCAAAGGGCTAAGGCGATTGTCAATATCGGGTCTTCTCACCGACAAGGTTTTCATGTATATTGGTAAATTCGCGAAACAACTTGAGATGCTTTCAATAGCATTTGCTGGAGATAGTGATGCGGGAATGATGCATGTTATGGAAGGATGCAATAATCTGAGGAAGCTGGAGATTAGAGATAGCCCATTTGGTGATGCTGCACTCCTGGAGAATGTTACCAAGTATGAGACAATGCGATCCCTTTGGATGTCATCATGCAATGTCACAGAAAAGGGGTGCCAAATCCTTGCATCAAAGATGCCAATGCTTAATGTGGAGGTTATAAATGAGGTAGATGAGAGCAATGAAATGGATGAGAACCATGGAATCCCCAAAGTTGACAAGTTATATGTTTACCGCACAACTGCTGGGGCAAGGGATGATGCGCCAAATTTTGTTAAAATCCTATAGAGCTAGTTGAGAATTGCCTGGTATCTCCTTGCTGTATAAGGTAATCCTTCTCAAATTATCTACTTTCATTCAGAAGGTATCTTGTTTGTTTGAAGAATCTAAACTTTGAAGTTGCATTCTCTTGTTTCTCCGCAGCTCGTATGTTCCTCTAAATATGTTGTGCATGCAACACGCAACTTGCAAATGATTTTTCAAAAGATGAAAATATAGTACATAGTTGAAAATGATGTCGAACCAACTTTATTCGTCCAAATCTCCCATCTACTTCCTCACTAGATTATAGCTGCTCAATCATAGTGCCGACGCATAGAATGCTGCTGATATATCGCATGATATGATCCCCATTCCATCTGACCTCCCTATACTGGACTGCTTTTACAGATGGTCGGCGGAATGGAATCCGGCGGGGGTCTGTGGACAGTGGCAAGTCTCCCGCTGCCCCCCTCGGCTTTGCAGCGCCAGGAAAAGCCACGTCAGTGTGCTCCTTATCCTGGAGCATCTCTGTCCAGGGATCCATCATTCCCTTTTTAGCGTCTGGTCATATGGCCACTGCCTTTATCCTGTGCATTTTTCTTTTTCTTAAGAGGACCACCAACCAACCAATCCTTTCTTTTCCTTTTTCCTCTACTATGCTGTACTCCGTAGCCATTTGCTTTTGACATTGCCACAGTGGAATGTGCCTCTGCTGTCGCTGTTGCTCTTGTTGTAAACGTTTGTTTGAACCTGACCGAAACGACGATGGCCAATGATCTTGCTCCCGTGAAATCATGCAGCAGAGGCTGGAATAATTTGTTGCTCATCAGCCCATTACTTCATTTTCGGCACTTGTTACCGTCCCTTTTTTTTTAGCTAATGACATTGTGTGCGTCCGGACGAGCGCATGCCGCCTGTGCCTTTGTTTTCTCTGGTCGGGAAGCCAACCAAATCAAGCCACATCTTGCCCTTTTATGTGTTGAGAGCATCAACAACCATGGTTGACTATTCTACTGCTCTATACCACTCCGGCCCGTCGGCTGGCAGTGCCTGGACAAAGCCCATTTTGCGCACTCAACAGCCACAAACCCCATATGGACGCATCATACTGGCAGTGCCTGGACAAAGCCCATTTTGCTCACTCCACAACCACAAACTCCATATGGCTGCATCATATTTTATACAAATACATGCATAGTACGTAGGTCATAAGATAGCATAAAAACATACCAAATCGGATATCGACAAAGTTCATCCAAAAGGGCTGACATAAAAACATACTCCCTCCGTCCGGAAATACTCGTCGGAGGAATGAATGTATCTAGATGTATTCTAGTTCTAGATACATTCATTTTTATGCATTTCTTCGACAAGTATTTTCGGACGGAGGGAGTACCAAATTGGACATCGACAAAATTTATGCAAAAGGGCCGACAGAGTTTAAATTTAACCTAAATAGAAGATAAAACAACTAGGCGGGCCGCGGGTCGTCCGTTGTGTCGTTGTCTGAGGAGGATGAGATGAGGAACCCTGTCAGCGGGCGGCGTTGTTCTGCTCTGCCACGAGCCGGGCGGCTCTCTCCGCCGCCATATCTTTCTGTCGCGCTAGCTTTGCGGATTCCTTGAGCACCCGTTGGAGCGCCGATGTGTTATTTGTGACATCAACGATGGCATAAGTCTCTGTTGAGGTGTATGACTGCCGGATTGCGGCACGAGCGCCTCATTGTTGTCTAAGCCGGGTGGCAGTGGCTCTGGCACAGATCTAAATGACCCGTATCCGTGCCTCAATCTGCCCCGCGCCACCTTTTTCATCACCTGGCAACAGGCGCTGAAGAAAATATGCACTAGAGACAATAATAAAGTTGTTATTTTATATTTCCTTATTCATGATAAAATATTTATTATTCATTCTAGAGTTGTATTGATCGGAAGCTTAAATACATGTGTGAATACATAAACAAATACCATGTCCCTAGTGAGCCTCCACTAGACTAGCTCGTTGATCAAAGATGGTTAAGGTTTCCTAACCATAGACATGTGTTGTCATTTCCGTTACCTTAACATAATAATCGTTCAGTTTTATTGCTATTGCTTTCTTCATGTCAAATACATATTCCTTCGACTATGAGATTATGCGACTCTGGATGCTGAAGGAATGCCTTGTGTGCTATCAAACGTCACAACGTAACTGGGTGATTATAAAGATGCTCTACAGGTATCTCCGAAGGTGTTTGTTGAGTTGGCATAGATCAAGATTAGGTTTTGTCACTCCGAATATCAGAGAGGTGTCTCTGGGCCCTCTTGGTAATACACATCATAAGATTGCAAGCAAACGATTAAGGAGTTAGTCACGAGGTGATGTATTACGGAACGAGTAAAGAGACTTGCCGATAATGATATTGAACTAGGTATGAATATACCGACAATTGAATCTCGGGCAAATAAGATGCCGATGAACAAAGGGAATTACGTATGTTGTCATAACGGTTCGACCGATAAAGATTTTTGTAGAATATGTACGAGCCAATATGGGCATTCAGGTTCCGTTATTGGTTATTGACCGGAGAGGTGTCTCAGTCATGTGTACATAGTTCTTGAACCCATAGGGTCCGCACGCTTAACGTTCGATGTCGATTTGGTATAATATGAGTTATGTGGTTTGGTGACCAAATGTTGTTCGAAGTCCCGGATATGATCACAAACATGACGAGGAGCTCCGGAATGGTCCGAAGGTAAAGATTGATATATATGACGATGCTATTTGGTCTCCGGAAGTTATCTGAATGCCGGAAGGGGTTCCAGAGGCATCGGGAGAATATTGAACCTTAGTGGACCAAGTGGAAGGGAACACACCAGCCCACATGGGCTGGTGCGCCCCCTTTAGGGCAGCCACACCTAATACATGGTAAAGGGGGAGGGGGTGGGGCGCCACCCCCTCTTACCATATCTCAGAGAAGGAAGGAAGGGGCGCCTCTCCCCTTTCCTTCCCCTTGTGCCATTATTTGGCAAGGGGGGGGGGCACACCAAAGGGAGGAGCCCTAGGGCTGCCACCACACCTGTTGGGGTGCCCCAGGGGCTGCCTCCTCCCCTCCCACACCTATATATTTGTGGGGAGGGGTGCCACACAATACACAACTTATTCCACGCCGTGTGTCGGCACCCCTCCGCCGCTAGTTTACTCTTCCGCTCTAGATCGTCATAGTGCTTAGGTGAAGTCCTACGGGATTGCTTCGGCACCATCGTCACCACGCTGTTATGCTGGCGGAACTTATCTACTATCTTGCCCCGCTTGCTGGATCAAGGTGGCGAGGACAACACCGAGCTGAACGTGTGCACAATGCGGAGGTGTCGTGCGTTCGGTACTTGATCGGGCGGATTGTGAAGGTGTACGACTACATTAACCGCGTTGTATAAACGCTTCCGCTTACGACCTACGAGGGTATGTAGACACACTCTCCCCCTCGTTGCTATGCATCTCTATGCATAGATCATTGCGTGTGCGTAGATTTTTTTGTTTTCCATGCAATGATTCCCAACAATCTTTATCTCCATATCCATGGAGATGCATAACAACGAGGGGAGAGTGTATCTACGTACCCTCGTAGATCGCAAGCGGAAGCGTTTATACAACGCGGTTGATGTAGTCGTACACCTTCATGATCCGCCCAATCAAGTACTGAATGGATGGCACCTCCGCGTTCTGCACACATTCAGCTCGGTGTCGTCCTCGCCATCTTGATCCAGCAAGCGGGGCGAGGTAGTAGATGAGTTCCGTCAGCATAACGGCGTGGTGATGGTGGTGGTGAAGCAATCCCGCAGGGCTTTGCCTAAACACTGTGACGATCTAGAGCGGAGGAGTAAACTAAAGGCAGAGGGGTGCCGACCCACGGCGTGGAATAAGCTGTGTATTGTATGGCACCTCTCCCTACATATATATAGGTGTGAGAGGGGAGGAGGCAGCCCCTAGGGCACCCCAACAGGTGTGGTGGCAGCCCTAGGGCTCCTCCCTGTGGTGTGCCCCCCTTGCCAAATAATGGCACAAGGGGAAGGAAAGGGGAGAGGCGCCCCCTTCTTTCCTTCCTTCTCCGAGATATGGTAAGAGGGGGTGGCACCCCCCCCCCCCCATTTACCATGTATTAGGTGTGGCTCCCCTAAAGGGGGTGCACCAGCCCATGTGGGCTGGTGTGTTCCCTTCCACTTGGCCCACTAAGGCCCAATACTCTCCCGGTGCCTCCGGAACCCCTTCCGGCATTTCGATAACTTTTCAGTGCATTTTGAAACTATTCCGGAGACGAAATAGCATCGTCCTATATATCAATCTTTACCTTCGGACCGTTCTAGAGCTCCTCGTCATGTCCGTGTTCACATTCGGGACTCCGAACAATATTCGGTCACCAAACCACATAACTCATATTATACCAAATCGATATCGAACGTTAAGTGTGTGGACCCTACGGGTTCAAGAACTATGTAGACATGACCGAGACACCTCTCCGATCAATAACCAATAGCGGAACCTGGATGCCCATATTGGCGCCTACATATTCTACGAAGATCTTTATCGGTCGAACCGTTATGACAACATACATAATTCCCTTTGTCCATTGGTATATTACTTGCCCGAGATTCGATCGTCAGTATCTTCATACCTAGTTCAATCTCGTTACCGGCAAGTCTCTTTACCTGTTTCGTAATACATAGCCTCATGAATAACTCCTTAGTCGTTTGCTTGCAAGCTTATGATGTGTATTACCGAGAGGGCCCAGAGATACCTCTTCGGTACTCTGAGTGAAAAATCCTAATCTCGATCTATGCCAACTCAACAAACACCTTCGGAGATACCTACAGAACATCTTTATAATCACCCAGTTACGTTGTGACATTTGATAGCACACAAGGCATTCCTCCGGTATCCGGGAGTTGCATAATCTCATAATCGAAAGAATATGTATTTGACATGAAGAAAGCAATAGCAATAAAACTGAACGATCATTATGCTAAGCTAACAGATGGGTCTTGTCCATCACA